CGTCTTATTTGAGCGATATTGTCGGATGCAGCAAAGAAACCATGCTAATGGGTTTTTCCATTCCCGCAAAATGACTGAGAAGTGAAGCTTCATTGCTGGCCAATCTGGTTGTAATTTGCACAAAATGACTTGTCTTGGGTTTGATGAGTTGTTATGGGATGATCAGTGGAATAACACAGGTTGCATTTTCGGAAGGCAGCGATTTTGGCATGGATCAACATAGCGCCCTCTATTGTAGTCTCCACAAATTTGTTGTTATTGACTTGTAGCTGAAGGTGTGGAGAACTGATTGTTTGTCCAATCTTTAATGTTGTGGCTAGATTTCCATCACCCAGACCATCGCAGACTGAATAGATAATTTTGGTTCTTGAAATAGTCATAATCAAGTTCATTATTGACAGAGTTCCAAATAATGTGAAGCATTGCAGCGAAAGACTTTGTTGTATGCAAACCATGCAGCCAGTTCGAAACGTTTTGCCTTGCTCCCTATGAATCACTAGTAATTAAATAATGACACAGTTTGATCAGGGGGAAAATGTGATATGTAAGTGGCATATGTTGAAAAACAGTCAAGCCAGGTTTCAATGTCGTCAATTGATTTCCGCTTATGTTGTGTGGCCGAGGTCAAACTAGAGTTATCATTGTCAGCTGTGCTAGCGGGGAGTATGATAACTTGGGGAAGATCAGAAAAATCAATGACCTTACCCCAAACAGCGAGCGTGTTGAGCATAGTTTGTTCAACATATGGCAGCTGCAGATGCATTTGTGGAACGAGAGACTTGTTGGTCTTATGGCTGAACCACTTCTTGAACAGTTGGCTGGGCGTCAGGCTGCTGGTATGTTATGGATGCAGGCTAATTTGCACTTGATTAGCTGGTTGTAACCCAGTGTTAGTTATGCTGGTTGAAAATTCAGATATGGCGGCTGAGGCTGCACTAGTGGTGTTATCAATTGAGGAATTATTGGGGGCATCTACGATGCATTGTTTTTTGTTTATTCTAACAGCAGTGGCTGCTTGATCAGAGAACCGTATTGGGTTTTCCTGGCAAGAGTAAGTCATACACATTTTCGAGCGACTGGCATGACGAGTTAAGTTTGTAGAAAATTAACAAATCATATGTATATGTGATGTATATGTCATGATTTATTGTCAAGGCAGGTCAGATTTAGATTTAAATGGATCAAAAAACAAATACATAAGCTAGGATAATAATCTTTCTTATTTGTGAAGTGAATCTGCCCATGCACGTATGAGACATAGGAATGAATGCATGGACACATAGAAGTGTTTTATGACTATGTCCAAACAGACATAAATAATAGTAATTAATTGGTGAAATTACTGTATTCAAC